CATAGATAAACGGTTTCGAATGCATGCTTATTAAGTATCCTCAACGTACTCACGGGCAAGAAACTGTGAAAACATTACAGCAAAAAGCATCGTAGAGCAGAGTGGGCTTAGGTTTGAAATGGCAAGTGCAAAACATTTCCACATTATCTAAATGAAAACGGTTACGCATATTTACAAGCAGAGAAAAATGGGCTTCTAAGTGAAAACAATCGCAAGTTGCGTGTACGATTCGAAGAAGGCCCTACAGGATATAATGATAAGCCCGGAGATTAGTCAGGTCACGATTTGACTGTGTTTGGCTTCTTGGCGGCAATGACAAAGTGTCAGTTGTCAGCCGAATTATAATCCCATTTGATCGCTGTCGGAATTTTTAGCAAAATCGAAATCCATCCTAGCAACCATGATGTAAGCAAACCAGTCATCCGTGGTTGCATACTGAGTACTTTAAAACAATTTCTCATGGGAAATTTGAGAAGAAACTTTATTTTTCCATCAATGTTCTTAAAAACGTTCGTTTCGCAACTTTGAAATCGTTCTCCGCGCAATGCATTAAACACTAATTCGACCATCTGAATGATATACCCTGTGCGATGTTAATTTAACATTTGGTAAATTCTTTTGAAAACGGCTTTATGTGTTACGGTTTTTAGTTATTGTGAAACTTTATCCATCCGTGATTGTGAGGAAGATTATATTCTATCTTTTTAGTGAAGCTGTGTGGCAAATAAGTAAATAACTAATGGAAAAGAATAATATTTCCAAGAAATTATAAATAAAACTTGCGTTTCCCATCTTTTTCTCTTGAAACTATAGCGGTAGCAAATATTTTTTTAAAAAATGAGATCCTTGCAAAATTTCAGTCGATTTCTGTCTTGAAGTCTCGATATTTTTCGGAAACCGCCTGCAAGTGTCGGAGTCTCGATTTCTTGTTTTTGCAAGGCCTTAGTCCAATCCGGATAGAGAGGAGAAGTGTGACGTCAAGTTACCATGGTAGCCAAATTTCTGGATGACAACAATAGGGCGGAGATTAAGCAACGACGACGGCCACAGTAACGACAACGGCAAAGAAACCCCGATAGGTTTAGACAACAAAACAACAACTTTGCAAGTGCATCACGCTTTTTTTGTACTTTTCTTAGCCGTCGTTGCGCGACTGACAAATGAAACCTCCAGTTCTCGCGCCCGCATTACGGCGTAGGCGAACATAACTCAAAAAGTTTCTTTTTCTTTTTCTAAACTCACATACGGTCCTTTCGGATTAAATCTAGAAAATTTCGCCAACAATCAGAGACAAATTAAATGAAATTGAATAAGATCGATGAAGTTTGAAACAGCACGAATTTACTTTTGAAATGAATTTTCAGTTTATTGTCATCCAAAAATTTTGCTTCCATGGCAACGTGACGTAACGACTTCTCACTATTCGGTGTTTGTTGGAATAAAATGGTCAGCATTAGATAACATCGAGTGAAGTCAGATTGTTTCTTTCAGTAAAATTACAAGAAGAACAACTTAAGTCCAACTTTACTGTGTAATATAAAAGTGAAATAGAAAAACTCCAGTGTGATTGCTTTGAACCCGGGTCACTTGCTTTATAGCCTACATCCATATCCACTACACCATCGACGACTAGCTGCCAAATCCAGTAATTTTTAAAATATACATGTTCTTATATATGCCGTACCTTATTACAATATTTGAAAGATAACCGTTTTCAATTCAGTGCTTAACCGTAATCACTGCAGATCAGTGCTTAACTCTCTACCGTGTTCTCTCCATAACTGGCGCTCTGTAGTTTTGCTTTTTTCAGCTATTCTAGCCTCATTGTACATTCCAGTCTCGTTCCATTATGAAAATAATGCGTTGTGTAAAATTCACAAGGTGTCCAATCTGGCTTCACTCGATGTTATCTAATGCTAACCGCATAAAATGGTGAAGAGCGTTTTCACATGACGTCACGGCGGGCATATTGTGTTCCAAAACAATGAAACGGCGGTCATCAGTGTACCAAGACAATCCTGTGGGGGTTGAATTCTTTTCTTACGCAAACACTTTCTTTTGTTCCCGACCAATAAATTTGCATAGATGCTGGCCACGTGAGTGAAAACTCTCTATTGTGTCTAAAAGTACGCAAGGGTGACCACGAGAGACTACGGGTGACTACGAGTGAGCACGAATCACCACGAATGACCCCGAGTCAATGAAAAAATGACTGAACGAATGAAAACTTTATTTACGTATCAATGTGTTTAGCTTTACAGCTAATGGGGGACACATTAGACGATAATGATACATTCATAAAAGGAACATAATAAAAATTATAAAAAAGACCGTATACATTCTTTATATCTTCCCATCACTAAAATTATTAAAAACCAATCAATACACATTTCTTTTCTACAGGCGGATTACGACTATGCTGGGGATATGTACGTATCAGTTCACGAGTCCAGATAGGTCGACTTTGCTAATATTTCTCGTTAATAAAAAACCGTTCTTCTTCGGATCACCTTTGAAACAATTTTCTTTTACGGCCCTCTATAAAAAAGCTTTGAAATGGCTTTGTGGAATTTATTCTTCCCTCTTTCAGCCACGGAGGCCCGTATGCGATGATCTTTTTCATTTCTTGTTATTATCACTTGTTTTCTGCATGAAACAGACTTAAGATCCGACAACTGTCCGGCATGGTCAGAGAAGTTTTACACTTAATTTGCGACCACGTCCGAATCGTCTCTTCCTAATTACATAAGTGTTCGCTTAGGGGAGGTTCGAGCCGATTGCTTCCTTTAATACCGGAGGGACATTTGTTATTTTCACTGACATTTATTTTGTTTGTGTTTCACATGACACATTTACATTGATTATCGTTTTTAAAGTGTACGTGACTTAATTATCTACCCCTCTTGGCTTTGCCCTTTGCTACCCCTTTTTCGGATTGCCGTTTAATCGCTGCTTGACACTTTGGATTGTTGCTCGTCCATCGATACCGAAAATGAGCATGAACTTCTCCCTTGATGTCGTTGGTTACGTTCTGTGTGAGATCGGAAATAACAGAGGAGACCAGTCCTAGCAAGAAAGGTGTTGCTACGTGTGGAGCATATGTGGTTACATGTGTAGGCCATCACGACTAAACGTGTAGAACGCCTTGGTCAGTGTGGTAGAGAGGTTGTGGTGTTGGTACTGATTGATCCATGACCAGCAGCAAATATCATATCGACTGTTCCTCCGTTGGCGCGAAAGCCACACTGGCGTTCGGGCAAGAGACCTTGTTCTGTATTTAATTTTGGAAAAAAAATATTGAGAAAAATGCACGTTGCTTTGTCTAGTTTGAAGATAAAGCTTCTGAAAGTACTGGCAACTGCAAATACTCCCCTGTCCCTCCAGAAAAACCTTGATGAATCATTTCTGAGCCCGTCTGAACAACACTGACTAGGGTGGTGCGAGGGGAGGCGCCATAGTGGTACCAAATCCACAGGATAGGCGTTCTGTGGTACGAAAGTGCAAAATTTTCATCCAAGATTGTCGCATGTTGATTGATGAGTCAACTGAGCATGAATTTGGCAAGGATTTTGCTTGCAATCGATAGTAGTGCTGTTCCTCTGTGGTTGTCGCGGGAATGCCTGTTTCCTTTCCGTTTATACAAGTTTGCAAGACTCGCGTCCTTGAAGTCTTGAGGGAGAATACCTTTCAATAAACCAATTGGCGTGAACTTTTCAGAACACTTTGGGACGGTATTTCACCACTTGCTCTTTACATCTCTGCTGAAATGGCATCTCAGCCTGGATCTTTGCCGGGAGAATTATCAAGAGCTTCATTTATTGGAACTTGTGCTAGGAGGTCAATAGCAGCTTGGGCAATTGATGACGGACGGTTTTACACTTGTTTAATGTGTTCAACCCATTTATCAAGGATCTTTTTGTGCTGCTTTCATGAATTGATTAAGTTTGAGCCATCATCGTAGAATCGTCTCGAGGCATTCATCTATGCATTCTGGTGGACTGGCTTTGTCTCCCTTGAGCCAGTTGCTGATCCGAGATGGTCTTGATTAATGAAGGTTAACTTTTTAGAGAATGATGTTTGATTAAGTTGTTAGACAAGAAAGTACTTACTTTTCTGCTCTGAGAGTTTGCTGACTTCCTTTCTTATTTATCAAACCAGTTCTGTTGTTTCCTAGAGACTGGCCTTAGCTGCTGAAGTGCCGCAGCAAAAAGTTCATCCTGTTTTAGTCTTGAAGTGTTCTATCTCTTAGGAGGTTTCTTTCCTTGTGGTGTTCCTTTGGGCTTAATGTGGAGCTTGAGGTCTAGGATAACTAAACGGAGATCTGTCTAGCATTCTTCATCACAGCTTTTGGTCAACGGCTCTTTCAGTTTTTATTATAGATAACATCTCTAACATACATCAGTGTTTGGACCTAGGATGAATCCAGGTTTTGACTTGAAATTACTTTGACTCCATAATTTTTACTTAGATATTCCAGAGGATGTGCTTCTCATTTTTTGTTTCCCTCACGTATCTTGGGTTATGCATATCAGCTAAGAAATGGCATCGAATGCGCGTGTAATTAGCTGACTGTGTCCCTTTTAAGTCATGTGCGCTTCAAGTTTGGGGAAATAAAAGACCATTACTGTCGCATTTCCCGATGTCGCGTTTGCCGTTTCTACCCTCTCGTGCTACAAGAGAAAAATCTAGCTCGGGTATAAAAGTCACCGAGGATCTGAATTTTGTCGCTGATTAACTGGCCAGTCTTTTGTTTGCCCAGTCTTCTATTAGGCTTAAAATTGGAAGACGTATGAGTGCGAAGATTATCAGTGTATGACATCTAGGGCAAAGAAAACATAGATTACACCACAATACTCGAGGATAAATGACACTGCATAACTAATAGGGTACGAGTTTATTACAGAGTAAAAACCATCATATCCAACCATGTGATTGTCTTTTTACACTTCTAGTATTTAGATTGAAATCAAATGTTCACTGGGCATTTCTGAGTCACTCCATTACAGAATAAACTTGCAGCAGCGATAAAGATAGCGAGTTCTGGGTGACAGAGGAACATTGTAAGCCATCCCCTCATTTACTTTTTCCTTGTCGATTTCAAATTTGGCCAAGAAAAAACCTTGTGGGCACTCAACTTTATGTAAGTTCAGCGACATGATGGAACCAACGACGTTTGCGAAGTATACGTTCCCATAATCTGTCGCCTTCTCATCACAGTAGACTCTGGCGCTATCCAGTCTGGTTGCCAAGGCCTGCATTAGTTAATTAAAGTGAAAAAACGTTTTAATGTGCTTTGATAGTCTTTCTGTTACTATTTGGATACTATAGTTCATAATTTTCTTCACTTTGGATTTTTAAGGTCCATGAAAAATGTTCTCGTTAAGCGGATTAACGACGAAAAAGAAAAAAGGTGATGCCATTCAGTTTTTATTTGATTACCCGAAAAATATGAAGCATCTTTTTAATTAAAGGCTCTCTGAGTAAAAATGTAAATATATCAGAAACCCCCAAGGGGCAGGTAAATAACATGCTTATTTTTCACTTGTAAGGTTTCCTAAATCAAAAAGCTTTTAAAAAGCTTTAAATTAATTCCCTGGAAATGCTTTTTCCCAAGAGCCTCCAATTGTTTGAGGTTGAATTGTGAAATATGGAAATTAATTATTCATGTGGAGTAGTCAAACAGTAGTTTTACCAGAAAGGGATGAGAAACTCAGAGGAAAAAGCATTTTTAACGTTAAGGCAGAGCAGCTTTGGAAACTCTTTTGGACCTTCCAACACAAAAATTTTTGTGTCAGTCGTCCGACGAAGTCGCTTTGCACACCAGGATGTAGTGTTCGCAGGTAGACGTTGGAGATGTTATGTCAAATTTGCTTAAAAGTGAAGCGGCAGGTGATGCGAATTTCTAGTTTGTAGGACACTGCGCTGTTACAACTGCCGACGTAAAAAATGAAGTCCAAGAAAGGTTGATAATTTTGCGCGGTAAGGTGTAAGTTTGATACAGTAACTTGGGAAGCATACCCATGATTTTCAATCACGTTAAAAGCAAGGTAGTAATAAGGTATGTGGGATCAGGGATTAAAGAGGTGGGATCAGGGATCACAGGTAAAATACCGGGATCAATACCACTTTGGACCTATCAAAAGAGGACCTCAAATCCTGAATCATGTTTAATTTTAACAAGCTTTACCTGCCAAGCGACAAGTTGAAACTGGCCGCGCAGCTCTAAACAAATTAAATTGTGACCGCTGTTTGAAAATGGAAACCTAACTATTATGTTAAACATTTGGTGCGTCATGTCCAGCGATGATGACGAATAAACTAAAACAAAGTGGTTGAAGAGGTTGTCTCATTTTATTTTAGTTCGTTTTGTTCTCCTTGTCATCACTTTCAGTTGACGGCAACTGTTGACTGGACAAGTTTGGGCCGCGCCCTTAACTTAAAGAATGAACTTGCAGCAGCGGTAAAGATAGCGAACGCTGGCTGAACCATAGCTTCCCGCCTTCACAAGTCGGAATATGGCCAAGAAAAAGCCATTTGGCCACTCAACGTTCTGTCGGTCCAAGTAGTTAATGTAAAACCCTCTCATCACAGTGCACTCTGGCGCTATTCAGTCTGTTGGTCAGGGCCTGCATTCGTTAAAGTAACAAAAAAGTTTCGCCCCATGTAAGGAATTCCCAATTCTGGAATCTGGGGAAATTTTGCTTGTGGAAACGGGAATCCTAAGCTTTAGAATCCAGAATACAGCTCATAGAATCTGGAATTTCAATAACGATTGGAATTGAGAATCCAAGTTCCACTGACAACGACTGGAATCCGAAATCCTCGGCTTGGAATTCAGTATCCATTGCTGTCTTAGATTCCCTTATATGAGACGAAAAGTTTTAACTGTGATCGTACTTACTTTTACTGTATTTTGCTAAACTCAACTTTCGCCAATTAAATTAACCGGACGAGGCAGGCGACGAATTTAAAGTGGCACGGAACAATTTTTTACACAAAAACTAACCACACAAAGTTTATATAACAGCCTATTGTATTCTGACTCTCAAAGATCCATTTGGATGAGTTGATGCCATTTGGATGAGCTTGAGAACGACTGAGAACGAGGCCGAGCCACACAAAGCAGGCAGCCTGTCAGAAACAGTGGGGGTCATAAGAGATGGGATTCTGAATCCCCGCCCCCACCTCTCGCACTCACGAGACCAAAAAGGAAGCCATATTCTCCAATCGATCTAACTACACCAATCGAAACAGACTTACAATTTTGAGAGAACGCCCGCAAGATCATGCAAATATCGATTTGTTTCACCGACACCAGACCAGGGTTTTGTTTTTTCCAATCACGTATTTCGTAATGGGCGTACGTAAATGAAAAGTACCATTCTTAGGGGCAGACCATTAGAAAAGTTACTGATGGTAGATAGGAATTTCGGGCCGTTCGAAACACACACACACGCACTTCTCCTGCATTTTCCTCGTGAAAATGTCTAGCGACTAAAGTCCCCGATACTGTTCCTTTATGACTGGTGTAGTAATAATTAAATTTTAACCCCGCTCTCCATAAAGCCTGCAGCAGATCTGTTGTTAAAGCATCCGAATTAGAACTCAAAGGGTCGTCAGTTCGATTCCCACCCAGGGCACGGAATTTTTTCTGAGCTCTCTGGTGTTAGATTTCTCCTTCTTCTAAACAGATATTTTTCGTTGATGTTAATAATAAGAGGCCGGTACAAGAATTGTTCCTTCTGCCACTCGGTATACTAATATAACTTTTCTATAAATGCCGCTTTCCCTTTTTAACTCGATACTTGGGATGTCCAGGTACTAGTAGCTATCCTACCTCAACCCCTACCCAGAAACATTTGGGGTAACCCAGGAGCCGGCTCCTGGTGTAACCCCACTACCCTGAGGGACCTCTTCTTTTTTTTCGTGGGTCTACGCCACCCATGACCCACGACTTTGTATCCACGACCCACAACTATTAGAAATAAGTTACTCCCGAGATTTTGTATGAGGGTATTTGGGCTTAAAGGATTAAGGAGGTAAATTGACTTTATCAACTCAGATCATGAACGTGCATGACTACGTGAGGCTGAAATTTAGTTATTTTTGATATTTTCCTCTTACCTGGATTTTAGTTTCAAACTCTCTGATTTTCTGTTTATGGTTACCGCTGTCGAGTGTTAAGAGATCGGCCTGAAAAATAACATATAACAGCTAAAGTACTGTTGCATAAGCACGCAACATAGTATTTGATATAATAATACGAAAGAACAAATCCCAATTCTCATTTTGTTGACGTTAACTTAAAACAACATGGTGCTATGCAGCTCTTTGAGACAGTAGTCCATGATGATAAAGCTAACATTTTGAATTCTATTTCCACAAACATATACTTAGAATCATTTAACCTCTGAAGTTGACCCGTATTCAATTTTGCTTTGTCATGTCAGTCTACAGGCACAGGATTCCAAATGTTTCATTACTGATTTTTATACTTTCCGATGGATTAGCAAACTTTTCAAATACCTGGTCCCTGAAAAAGTTATCTAAGCCTACCATAGTTTTTGGTTGAATAATGCATGAAAGTGCAGTTTCTGCAGCGTTCAGGGCACTGAAACCTAAACCTTTCTTAAAAAGTGAGAAACTGTAACGCTTGTTCCACAATGGAATTGCTGGTTGGATCAGTACTTCTTTGATGACAATGTTGTATCCGTCCTGGTCTCGAGGATTTAATTTATCTACCACAGTAGTAAAGCAATCTTTAATCGCTTTAGTAAGTGATTTACCCATTGTGGTGAAGCCGCTCTCGAGCGACGTTCGAAAGGACAGAAACTGCTCATTAGAGCACGATACGTCAGAGGTGGGAACTAAAGTTCCATCGCCGTGTTCTTTCCTGGTGCTTTTTCCTCTACTAACAGTAGCTCCTGAATTTTCCGTGGCACTTCTTCCTTTCCTTGCCAATTCAGGGATTCGTCCCTTTGTTTTTGTCTATTATTCGGCATTTTCGTCCTTGGAAGTTTCCACGTATCATTCGCGAAGAAGACAACAACTTGATGAACAACGCAATGAGGTTGTGCAGGTGCAATGCTATCTCACTGATTTGATCTCTCATTGCGGTGACAAGGTAGAATTTCAATTGTCATGAAATCAATTTTTTTGTTTTTGAACTTACTTAAGACATTTTTCGATAGTTCTCTCCCCTGCCCTGAGAGTACGTTTTCTTCAGTTTGCTTCCAAATTCCAAGTATCGGAACATGGCAAATGAAAACCACAACATTGTGCATGACTAAATCATTTATATGTTTCCCAGCTGGTTTAATATATATATATACTTTAACTCACCTTTTCTTTAAGATGTTTGTGAGCTTCATCTAATTTCCCCTCCACTTTAGTTTGCACATCAGTTACTCTACTCTCCATTTTTGTTTTAAAATCACTAACGGCACTTTCATGGTTTGACATATTAAGTGACACAGCTTCAAAATATTTGTTAGCTTCATCCACTTTCTTCCCCAGCTGACTTCGCAAATCAATCAGGTCACCTCTCAGACCTTCCTCGACTTCACTCATTTTCATTTCGAGCTTGCTTTGCCTTTCAACAGATCGGTCCATTTTTGTTTTAAAATCACTAATGGCACTTTCATGGTTTGACATATTAAGCGACACAGCTTCAAAATATTTGTTAGCTTCATCCACTTTCTTCCCCAGCTGACTTCGCAAATCAATCAGTTCACTTTTCAGACCTTTCTCGACTTCATTCACTTTCATTTCGAGTTTGCTTTGCGTGTCAAAAGATCGGTCCATTGTTGTTATTGAATCGCTAACGGCACTTTTTTGGTTTGACATTCCACTTAACGCAGCAAGAATGACAACAGCAACAGCACAAATAATTCTAGTGAAACTCAGATTCTTCCTCAATTTATCGCTAGTGACGGTTAGCAATTTTACCCTCTCTTCAAAATGATTTTCTAGGGCCTGAACGCTCTCTTCAAAGCGATTTTGGAGCGCCTGTAATCTGTCGTCAAAATGATTCTGGAGGGCCTGCACTCTTTCCTCAAATTGATTTTGGACGGCCTTTGCTCTTTCTGCAACTTCAAGTTGAAGGTTTCTTACTTCATCCTTGGTGTCGTTTAATTTGCAGCTATTCAAATGGAGATGATATCTTATCTCGCCTTCAAGGTGTGATTCAAGCACTTCTCTCTGAATCTGAAATTAAACAGGTCTGTTTTGTAATTTTTCTTTTACCCAATCATATTTCTTAAATGAGCCAGATGTTACTTATTGGTTATGGTCTCATAAAACATCGAGGAAGCTGTAATTCTAAATTTGATAGTGGTGAATACCTTAAAATTCCGGCAATAACCATTCTCTATCCCCCCACAAACTCGTAATGGAAAATCCCTCCGTTAAATAACCGCTCCGAATATAAGCCCCTTGGAGCTTATAAAATAGAAATTGTCCTCAGATACAAAGCAAACCACCTGGACACTTCAACTGACGACAATCGATCATGATGAGATGAGACGCAGAACTGCAGAACTGAGAAGCTGATCAGGATACTATTGAAGTGTACATTTAGTTCGTTGAATAACGTGATAATTTTACTTTGCGTTATTTTCCTCCCTTATATGTTTTGTCCGTGACTGTGCTCACATAGTGGGTGGCTCCTCCTAAAATCTTGTGTAATTCGTATAGGAGTTAATGGAGCCGAAACCAGTTGTGGAATTTCACACATTTTAGGCATCCTACTGATGAACAGTTACAACACGTAGATATATATTTCTAGCAACTACTATAATTTGCAGTGTATCCACTTTCAACCGATTACAAACTGTGTGTTATGAGTATTTTGTGTTTTGATGTCACCTTAGAGGGAGAGAGAGAGAGGGAGAGAAAGAGGGAGGGAGGGAGAGAGAGCGAGAGAGACAGGCGGGGGGGGGGGGGGGGTGTGTTAAAACGAGCGCACTCATGTTTGTTGGTCAGATGACTAATTCGAGCTGCCGACGTAAAATAAGGACTCTACCTTCATGTTTTTTTCATAGCGCGAGCTAATTCAGACAATGCATTTATGCATCACTTTCACTCCTAACAATGGTCAGTATGAAAAACAAAGAAAGAAACCTTTATTGGTTAATGCAAAGAAATGAATAGCATTCTGCTAAAGGTCGGTAAAAGACAATGATCTAAGTAATGATCCGGGTAAGACAGGAAGCAATTTCTTTTGCTATGGTGCAATACGTTTTCCTCATGTTGTATGGGGAAATTGCGTCTTAAGTTAACAACCAAACTTACCTTTAGGAAACAGCCCAGCCAATTATATGGGCAGGGAACTTCTGTCAGTGGACATGTATTGTTAATGTGATCTGACACCTGGAAAAAGATAGCGCCAATTTAAGTTATAGGCATATTTATTTACCACAACACAGACCTCTTGTAACTTTTTTCATAAATGTCTTGAAGAAAATTATAGAGACTAGACAACAAAGCACCATTGCAGGGCATGTAACCGCGTTCATATCCACTACAGTTTAACCTTTATGAAAGGTCTGTCCCATCAACTTCGCCGCTGCCTTAAACAACAAGGTGTGCGCATGGGTCTAAATCCGAGACTACACTTATTCACAGATAGTGCGCCCTAAAGACGCTGGTAACTTGACTAAAAAAGATGACGTGGTTTAAAGAGTTCTTGGAGATCTAGATGGTGGTTAAGAGTTAATTGGAGAGCAATAGACTCACAAAGGACAGAATCGAAAAGGATCACGGAAATAACAGATCGGCCCGCACCCAGTCCCGCTCTGCCTTTTTAGAGCGCGCCCACAGGAAAGGACACCACAATCTTTGGAGTGAAGAAAACCTAATTGATCGTGATCCTCACGGTTTTCATGCAGGGACAAAGAGGCGATTCACGTAAGACTTCACACTTACAATATCATGAACTGTGGAGTCAGTATTAGAGATTTTAATATCTAAGGCTGAAAATGACAATAAGCTGAGAAAACGAAACTGATTTAATGGCATCACCTTGTCACTTGCAATTTTAATCCCGCAGTTGTTTGGACAGGCAGTAAGGAGACCTTCGCAATTTTCTAAATGTGCCTGTCAAGACAAAGAACAAAAAGAAGTAAAAACTGAATAAAATAGTAAAGGAAAGTGACTTCTGAAACTGAAACGTTTTAAGTACACGAAACTGATGTGGAAAAATAATAAAACTACCAAGGATATTTCAGGTCGCTACATAACGGATCCAAACTCTTGTGAGTAAAGAAATGTAGGTTGGGTGGAAGTATGGGGTATTGCGAGAAGTTAAATTTTATTAAAAGACCTGTAATCGAAAAATACCAAAAAAAAACAGAAAAAAAACCAGACAACTTCTGAAACCTTTTATCCCAGTCGGTGCTTAATTACAGGTTAGTTAGTCGATTCTTGTTTAAAAATTAACTTTATCGAGTATCTTCAACAAAAACACACGTTAACCGTAAACGTACACTTGTTATGAAACCGCCAAGCTTCTACGCTGGCGTCTCGCGCACGGCAATCGTGGATAATTGTCCAATCATTCCATTATCAACGTCAATTATCAAATAATTGCAAACATCTTCCAAATTTGGGTTTGAAGAATTAACCCTGGTATAAACGTCGATCAATTACGATATTTTGAATCACAAATCGTCTCTTGCAATATGTGAGGTGAAGGCGTTGAAATGAAAATTAGCGCGTTTTAAAATATTCTGTTTTAAATTCCGACCATACAAGTTGTCTACAATTGAGGTCAAAAGGGTTGGGACCTTCCTAGTAATATTAGTAAAACTAGCGACCCCTCCCATCCCACCCTAAACAAACTTGAATTTTGAGCACCATGGGTGAAAATGAGTTCTTTTTTTGGCCACAAAATTGCTAGGGGAAGTGGGGGACGACGCGATGAACCCAAAGCCGATGAAAAAATTGTCATTAAAACCAGGAAGGGATTTTTCACACAGTCCCAAGTTCTTTTGTTCCCCATTGAAGTTAATTACCGTCTTATGGCTCTCAAAACATACAACAAGAACTGATCCAGCAATTTGCTTTTACCTCCATTTGGCATTGTGGATGATGTTCTGCACAATGCAGACATCTCAAAATTCTCCATACGCACATGTCGGCCACGTGTTCAGTCAGATCCTTTCTGGTTACGTTTTCTCCACATTTTTCGTAGGTGCAAGAAACAATTTTCCAAGGACATGAGGTCAAGTGGTTCTAATAAAATAATCAGACGACAGACCATAAAAAATGCATCATCCCTCTCCCTTAATTAATTTAGAGCTGGGAAATCTTTTATCGGCTAAACTTCAGAATACCCGGCAACTACCCTTTTATCTACGGTTGTATTTCTCGTGATACTTGCCTGCGAGAACTGCGAATGTAATTAACCGAACTGTTTTTGTTATTATGTACAAAAGGGTTTTAGAGAGAATCTTGTGTCCGTAATAGTTTGCACATTTCCTATTTTCATGTTTGTTAATCAGTTGTTACTCGTGGATTAGCCTGCGTGGAAAGCGTTAGAAAGGGAAGGGGAAAGGAATTGAGGGCGCGAGACCGCGCGCGAGGGAGGAGGGAGGAGTTACAAGGTGAACAATGATCCCTACCTCTTTCTCCCTCAGCTCACCAGTCCATTCACAGCACTCACTGGGACACTTGATGACATGTGACAAAATCTTTCTTTCGGCTAGTTTGTCAGGGAATATGTCCTAAAAAGTAAACATGGAAGAAAAATAAGAAAAATATTCATTCATAAAATCAGTTTTTGATTGTTTATTCTGTATTTTTTGTGATCAAAGTTGAGCTCTTTTGCTGGTATCAAGAATTAGGGAGTTCACAACGATTTCAACGGTGGCGAAAACATCACTTTAAAAAAGACTCGCTCACTCCGTGAATGAAGGCGAACTCTCTTTTCCAATTTAAAAAAGAGAAAGATAAATTTGTCGTTGTCAGGAGTCGTTCTCCTGGTCGTTGTATGTTGGCGTTGTCATTAAATGGGAAATTAGGAAGTTTCACGTCGCTGAATCGTGCAGTGACGGTAAAAATGTACAAAAAGTGTGATACACTTGAAAAGTTGTTGTTTTGTTAATGTAAGGCTATGTTCATCCCACCAGATACTGGATAGATTTTCGCGCTGACACGAAACGCTATCCGGAGCATGAACACCTATCCGATATATAATTGACTCCACTTTAGAGATCGGCGGAGCGCATCTTCTCTCCGTCACAGAAATCGCGCCGCCACAACCGTGTATGAACAGAAGCCCTATCCAGTATGGTTTTCGTGCCGACACAAATCCGATCCAGTATAGTGTGAACATTGCCTAAGCCTTTCGCTTTTTGACGTTCTCGTTGCCGTCGCAGTGGTGACATCTTAAACCAGTTCCTACTGATTCGTGTAGTAGTACCTTGTTTTGTTCCAGGACTTTCCTGTCCGAAGGACACGTTAACTGGTGACCCTCTTGCTCCTGCCTTTAATGACAAATAATATTGATTAAAAAAAAGCCAACTGGCTCGTTTTATCATAACGCGACAACGTTCCTGAAGCGGTACCGGAAGGAGGACGAGAAAGAGGACCAGAGGGCAGCCCATCCTCGTCCCCAGAGCCTCCTGTTCCGTTAGCCGGTGAGGCCTGAGCACGAGGACCAGTTTTCGTCTTAATCTGTCTGTTCCTCGGCAAATTCAGCAGGATCAACCTCGTTCCCAGAGTTCTCTCCTATCCGTCCCTACAGAGCGAGAGAGGGACAGGTAGAAGAAAACCCTGGGAACGAGGTTGCAGCAGGATATAAAAGGATGTTTAGTCTAGCAACTGCTGTCATTCTTTGAGTAGTACTCTTGCTGTTCTCGCTACAGTTTAGGCAGACCTTCGGCTATATCTTTTTCGCAGAACGTTTAAAATTTTCATCTTTACCAAAAGCAACTGAGCTAATGCAATCGTTTCCACGACTTCTTACTTTCGTGACGTCATTTATTTTTGGACAACGCTAAAATAGCTTATGAAATGCTCCATTGCGTGATCGATGACTTAATTCATTACTGAAACCAAGAGAGGGGAGAATGAGAAACCATCACATGTACAAAGGAATCAGGGACCTTTCCACGGTGTTTTCAACTTTCTAGTTCCGTGGACCAGTTAAAGAAAATGTTTTTCTCGTCGACACCACTGGAAAGAGCGCCTTGAAATTGATAATATCGTCATGTTTGAAAGTAATTTCTTGAAAACTAACGAAGATATAGCGACCAGAAATCAGGTAGACAAAGTACCACTATGTGGATGTGCCAACTCCAAATCGTTATTTATTTTATTTTTTTAATAACTTCTGAAAGTCACGAAATTCTACAGCCGTTTGTGTGGCACAAACTTTCCCACTAGCATACAAACGTCTGTAAAATTCTCGCAACTTTGGAGAGCTTTTTCGAATTCTTTGCACGTTTCAAACGTATCACTTTCAAACTGAGCAAAATTACTAATATTAAAGCGCTATTTACTTTCCAGTGGTGTCGACGGATTTTCCGTCACGGGCACATGTCAAAAGTTGAAAAAAAACCGTGGTTCTATCTAGGAGTATTTGAGAGCAGTTAGAACATACCTGGGATACAACTTCACAAAGGAAAAGTAATTTTGCGGGGCTCCCCAGCAATAGTAGCTATTACTGTATTAGAGACTGCAAGTACATATCGAAGCCTTGAAAACAACATTTATCACAATACCTCTCCTCTAACCACAACATTTGGTGGTACTCAAGTATTAAATAAAGGTTTATGAATACATCCGTCTGTAGGATTTTCAGTCACATGTCAACGTAAAGTAAAAATACTCTAATAAGAGGCGTTTACAGACTTTAACTAGATCATTATGGGCCTTGTGTCATTCGAAATGTTACCAAACGACTGCTCTGTATCGGTTGTGTCAGTTGTGGCGATCATGACCGGTTGACGGACAAGCCGGTCATTCAAAACATTTAATGGTTGACTAACCGTTTATGCACACATGTCATTATATTCCTTGTCTCCTTAAAACAGTAAATCTCTCTGCCTAATTTGCTTAATCGGTCCGTACGAGGCAAGTCTAGATCTAGAGATGAGAAAAAGGTAGATGAGACTGTCGATCAGTTTAATAAATGATCAAAAAACTTTGACCGCCCGCTGTTCATATAGACGCTGTTTTGAATTTGCTGTCATAGTGAAAGTTGGAAATTACTTTCATAATTTTAACAACTACATCCCTACTTGCAGCAGTGTCGTTCGATCGGTTTCAGTCAAGAAGATTTACCAAGAGCTAGCCTACCTGTACAGTCGACTGATAATGTTGCAGTTGTCTGTTGTAACATATACACAATATACATCTGATAAGGACAGGAAAACCCTAGTTCAGAAATATCAACACGGAGTTTCCACTATAAAGAATACCTTCGCATATATTCCTCGAGACACTGCCGGCAAAACCTGTGACCACATCTTGTAAGAACCGGTTCTTTCGACGGCAGGAAACATATAATGCAATGGAGGTCTTCATCAGGTGGAACAACAAACTGCTCGTCATGACCAGAAGGAACAGAACGGCTATTCGGTACTTCCGCCATTGCTGAAACAGAGACAACCTCGTCCCCAGGGTCTTCTCGTTTTCCAATATGGCGACAGCAGGACAGAGGCATTAATGCTACTCGCAGGGCCGGGAGGGTGCTTATGGGACTGAATTACAGGATATTTTAATCACGACGAACAACAGTTCATAAGGAGCATGGAAGAGCCCTGGGCCCCTGAGCACTTAATTTTACAAAACGAGTTCCAGACACATTTGCTTCCTAACAGTTTCGTACATTCATACAACACTAGCATGCAAGACAAATGTAAGGAAATTTTCACTTCGTTTTCAAGGGCCCAAAATATTTAAGACGGAATCCACCAGGACACTGAGTAATTTTGATTTCCAGTGGAGAAAAATCTTGTACCAGAATGATTTAAAGCATATTGAATTCTTTCTTACATTTTTCAAGGGCTAGAGATTTAATAAATAATCTGTAGTAACACCAAAAAAATTTCTTATGGGAGTCCGAGAAAATGAATGTCAAATTTCACAGAATTACATCTTACACAGGAAAGTTCAGAATTTTACCTGTGTAATCACAATGCATGTGAAGTGTGACATTCATTTTCTCATCAAACTTCCATGAGAAATTTTCTTTGGTGTTACCGGGCTACAGATGATTTATTACATCTTAAGCCCTTCAAAATGTAAACAAGAATGCAATATTCTTTAAATTATTCTGGTACAAGGTTTTTGTCCACCCCTCTTAACTCTGAAATTCAGAATGCCTCTAATACTGCTTTGTTCGGTTGTGAACTTAAGTCATTTTTTCTTGGTATAAGCACACTTTAGCTCAGTCTCCTAATGCTTGCGTGTAGTTTTTCGCTTCTTCTGCTTTTTTTTCTCGTTTATTCTTGAATTATTATTTTTACGGTTTTTGATCAATAGCATTGTTTCAGTGGTTGGTATCAATTTGACCTTCATTTTGTTTTTTTATGAATTCAGGTCCCGAATACTAGTTAGTCAAGGAATAGATCTGTATCCGGAAAGAAAGGAAGAAGGCCGGGAGGTAAAAAAATACAGGAAGAGGGAATTGTGCATGATTCTCAATGGTGGACAAGCATTAAAAATTAGAAAAAATTACCTAATATTTTGACAAAAGCGCAACGAGGCAAAGTTAACAACAAAGGGCGGGAAACGGGAAAAAGGGTACGGGTGAAAGGAAATTACACTGTCCCATCCCCCGTTCCGGGCTGTTCGGGACCCGCTCATTTGAATAAAAAAAAATGTAGAAAATAACCACCAACGTATTCAACTGTCGAACTGTCGGATAATGAATTCATTTATGGAATCTTGGGTGGTACACTTGACCTGGCTTGACTGTGATTTGCTTGTGCTTTTTTTGTGTTTCTTTTCTTTCTAGTGGATAGTTTAGGCTTTGGAGGTCTTGAAAGATTCTAGTGCTGACTGAACATGTTTTTTTTGCTGCTCCGTTGTTTTACATTGCCTGGTCGAGTTCATGTAACCGGTCTGTTTTCTGTACATTAATTTCCTGTGGTTTTTGGTTCTGATGGATGAATATCCTTTAAAAATAGGTTTTTGTATCTCTCTAGTTTTCTTTGAAGTCAGGCCTGGGGACTTTCCTCGATAGGCCCGGTAACTTTTTGGGGCCGAAGGTAAATTTTAAAATCAAATCCTCTTGGATAGAAGCAGAGTTCCTTGCTAACAAACCAGTCGATTTTGCTTCTTTAATTGATAGTTTTATTTTATCATGTTCAAAATCATGGAAACTTTGATCTTTAATACAAACATGGTAAACATCAAACCAGCTTTCCGGGCCCGAAAAGTTACCGGGACTTTGGAGAAACGGGCCTCAGGCTGGATCGGTATCAGAATTACTGGGTGTGTTTTTTTCCCGTGATTGTGATGCTATGTTTTGCTATGTTATGCTATGCAATCTTCAGCTATTTAGTGTTAATTGTAACCAGCTACAGATCCATGTTTAACAGAAAGAGTTGTCACTTTGCTTGAACCTAAGCTGCACCAATTACAGGCAGTCAAGATTGTTTTGATACAATCCTTTTTTTGGTCGGAATTTTTTTCATAAGATTATCGAGGCTGAAATTTGCGAAAATTTTAGAATATTTCAAGAATAAACCCCGGGCTGAGATTTTGAAAATGATATTGTTTTGTGCGTTGAAAATCTGTAAGTACAACATAGTTATATATTTTTAACTGATTCCTTTATCTAAACAGCAAAACTAGCCAATAAAACGAAAAAAACCTGCACTAACTATAATTGATACCCCAATATATTCTGGAACGAAAAGGTCATAAGCTAAAATTTAAGAATAATAGCAAGAAACAGTTTCAGCCTTAAATCGACAGAAAAATAAGAATATTGAGCCTGGGACGGAAAAACAACATTCTTACAAAAAAGAGTGTACAGCCATATAAACTGCAATTAGTTAAACTCATAATTGCCTACACTAATTAGCTTAACAGTCTGCCACTTTTTGGGCGGGCAAAACCACGGTTTCGTTTTTCCACACAAACATCATTTTATGAGATCCTTTTTTAAAACCATATTTTATATGAAAAAGTTATCTCAATAAAGATTGTTATTATTATTATTTAGTTGACGGCAACGTTGACTGGACAAGTTTGTCCCGCGCCCTTACAGAATAAACTTGCAGCAACGGTAAAGATAGCGAACTCTGGCTGAGCGATAGTCTTCTTCCCTCACAAGTTGGAATCTGGCCAAGAAAGAACCATTTGGACACTCAACGTTCTGTAGGTCTAAGAACATGATGTAACCATTTGATTTTAGGTCCCAAGCTGTACCCTTCTCATCACAGTGCACCTTGGCGCTATTCAGTCTGCTGGTCAGGGCCTGCATTCCATAAAGAAAAAAAAAGGTTTCGCCTACTGTAAGGGATTCTCAATTCCGGAATCTGGGAAATTTTTACTTGTGGAATCTGGAATCTGGGAAAATTTTGCTTGTGGAATCGGAATCTGAGAAAGTTTTGCTTGTCAAGGAATCCGGAATACAGCTTAAGGAATCTGGAATCCCACTAACCGAGAATCCAAGTTCCACTGACTCAGTAACCATGGCTGTTTTGGATTTCCTTATATGGAGCGAAAAGTTTTGAAATGATCGTGCTTACTTTTACTATATTTCACGAGACTCAACTTTCGCGAATTTTGCACTGATTTCAAGTACAGTGCACAATGAAATAAAACTTGAAAAATTTCTTTTTCTTCACAATCGTTTATTTTTATATTTAAAAGCATTGATTTGTACGGTATTAATTAATATTCTGTGCCATGAGTTTAAACAAAAATTGACTTGACTTGACTTTTCTTTCGTTATATATTTCCCTTGCATTTTCTCCGTGAAAATGTCTAGCAACTCCCCGATAAGGGTCCTGTATGACTGGTGTAATGATAATTAAATTTCAACGCTGTTCGCCATAAAGCCTCCAGTAGATCAGTGGTTAGAGCATCCGAATTAGAACTCGGAGGGTCGTCAGTTCGATTCACATCCAGAGCTCTTTAATGATACATGTTAATAATAAGAGGCCGGTACAAGAATATTTCCTTCTGCCACTCGGCATACTAATATAACTTTTCTATAAATGCCTCCTTCTAACTTGGGGGTGTAACCCCACTTCCCTGAGGGACCTCTTCTCCTTTTTGTTTCGTGGGTCTTCGCTACCCATTACCCACGACTTTGTACCCACGACCTACGACTATTAGTTACTCACAATAGTTTGTATGAGTGTATTTGGGCTTAAAGGTTAAGGAGGTAACTTGACTTTATCAACTCAGATCATGAACGTGCATGACTGCGTGAGCTCTCTGAAATTTAGTTATTTTTGATATTTTCCTCTCACCTGGATTTTAGTTTCAAACTCTCTGATTTTCTGTTTATGGTTACCGCTGTCGAGTGTTAAGAGATCGGTCTGAAAAATAACATAGAACACCTAAAGTACTATTGCATAAGCACGCAACATCGTTTTTGATCTAATAATACGAAAGAACAAATCCGAATCCTCATTTTGTTAAAGTTAACTTAAAATAACATGGTGCTATGCAGCTCTTTGAGACAGTAGTCCATAATGATAAAGCTAACATTTTGAATTCTATTTCCACAAACATATACTTCGAATCATTTAACCTCTGAAGTTGACCCGTATTCAATTTTGCTTTGTCATGTCAGTCTACAGACACAGGATTCCAAATGTTTCATTACTGATTTTCATACTTTCCGATGGATTAGCAAACGTTTCAAATACCTGGTCCCTGAAAAAGTTATCTAAGCCTGCCGTAGTTTTTGCTTGAATAATGCATGAAAGTGCAGTTTCTGCAGCGTTCAGCGCACTGAAACCTAAACCTTTCTTAAAAAGTGTGAAACTGTAACGCTTGTTCCACAATGGAATTGCTGGTTGGATCAATACTTCTTTGATGACAATGTTGTATCCGTCCTGGTCTCGAGGATTTAATTTATCTACCACAGTAGTAAAGCAATCTTTAATCGCTTTAGTAAGTGATTTGCCCATTGTGGTGAAGCCGCTCTCGAGCGAAGTTCGAAAGGACAGAAACTGCTCATTAGAGCACGTTACGTCAGAGGTGGGAACTAAAGTTCCATCGTCGTGTTCTTTTCTAGTGCTTTTTCCCTCTACTAACAGTAGCTCCTGAATTTTACGTGGCACTTCTTCCTTTCCTTGCCAATTCAGGGGATTCGTCCCTTGGTTTTTGTCTATTATTCGGCATTTTCGTCCTTGGAAGTTTCCATGTACCGTTCGCGAAGAAAACAACAACGCAATGAGGTTGTGAGGGTGCAATGCTATGTCACTGATGTGATCTCTCATTGCGGTGACAACGTAGAATTTCAATTGTCATGAAATCAATTGTTTTGTCTTTTGAACTTACTTAAGACGTTTTTCGATAGTTCTCTCCCCTGCCCTGAGAGTACGTTTTCTTCAGTTTGCTTCCAAATTCCAAGTATCGGAACATGGCAAATGAAAACAACAACATTGTGCATGACTAAATCATTCATATGTTTCCCAGCTGGTTTAATATATATATACTTTAACTCACCTTTTCTTTAAGATGTTTGTGAGCTTCATCCAATTTCCTCTCCACTTTAGTTCGTACATCAGTCACTCTACCTTCCATTTTTGTTTTAAAATCACTAACGGCACTTTCATGGTTTGACATATTAAGCGACACAGCTTCAAAATATTTGTTAGCTTCATCTAATTTCTTCCCCAGCTGACTTCGCAAATCAATCAGTTCACCTTTCAGACCTTTCTCGACTTCATTCATTTTCATTTCGAGTTTGCTTTGCCTTTCAAAAGATTGGTCCACTTTTGTTTTTAAATCTTTAACGGCACTTTCTTGGTTTGACATTCCACTTAACGCAGCAAGAATGACAACAGCTGCAGCAGCACAGATAATTATAGTGAAACTCAGATTCTTCCTCAATTTATTGCTAGTGTCGACGGTTATCAAGTTTACCCTCTCTTCAAAATGATTTTCTAGGGCCTGAACTCTTTCTTCAAATTGATTTTGGAAAGCGTGTAATCTGTCTTCAAAATGATTCTGGAGGGCCTGTTCTCTTTCTTCAAATTGATTTTGGACGGCCCGCACTCTTTCTTCAAATTGATTTTGGACGGCCTGCACTCTTTCTTCAAATTGATTTTGGAGGGCCTGCACTCTTTCTTCAAATTGATTTTGGAGGGCCTGTGCTCTTTCTCCAACTTCAAGTTGAAGGTTTCTAACTTCATCCTTGATGTCGTTTAATTTGCAGCTATTCAAATGGAGATGATATCTTATTTCGCCTTCAAGGTGTGATTCAAGCACTTCTCTCTGAATCTGAAATTAAACAGGTCTGTTTTGCAATTTTTCTTTTACCTAATCATATTTCTTAAATGAGTCAGATGTTACTTATTGGTTATGGTCTCATAAAACATCGAGAAAGCTGCAATTCTAAATTTGATAGTGGTGAATACCTTAAAATTGCGGCAATAACAATTCTCTATCCCCCCCACCGACCAAACTCGTAAAGCAAAATCCCTTCGTTAAATAACCGCTCCGAATATAAGCCCCTTGGAGCTTATAAAATGAAAATTGTCCTCAGATAGAAAGCAAACCACCTGGACACTTCAACTGACGACAATCGATCATGATGAGATGAGACGCAGAACTGCAGAACTGAGAAGCTGATCAGGATACTATTGAAGTGTACATTTAGTTCGTTAAATAACGTCATAATTTTACTTTGCGTTATTTTCCTCCATTATATGTTTTGTCCGTGACTGTGCTCACATAGTGGGTGGCTCCTCCTAAAATGTTGTGTAATTCGCATAGAGGTTAATGGAGCCGAAACCAGTTGTGGAATTTCACACATTTTAGGCATCCTACTGATGAACAGTTACGACACGTAGATATATATTTCTAGCAACTACTATAATTTGCAGTGTATCCACTTTGAACCGATTACAAACTGTGTGTTATGAGTATTTTGTGTTTTGATGTCACCTTAGAGAGAGCCCACATCATATTGAGTCACCTTAGAGAGAGAGAGAGAGAGACAGGTGGGGGGCGGGGGTGTTAAAACGAGCGCACTCATGTTTGTTGGTCAGATGACTAATTCGAGCTACCGACGTAAAATAAGGACTCTACCTACATGTTTTTTTTTCATAGCGCGAGCTAATTCAGACAATGAATTTATACATCAGTTTCACTCCTAACAATGGTCAACGTGAAAAACAAAGAGAGAAACCTTTGTTGGTTAATCCAAAGAAATGAATAGCATTCTGCTAAAGGTCGGTAAAAGACAATCATCTAAGTAATGATCCGGGTGAGACAGGAAGCAATTTCTTTTGCTATGGTGCAATACGCTTTCCTCATGTTGTATGGGGAAATTGCGTCTTAAGTTAACAACCAAACTTACCTTTAGGAAACAGCTCAGCCAATTATATGGGCAGGGAACTTCTGTCAGTGGACATGTATTGTTAATGTGATCTGACACCTGGAAAAAGATAGCGCTAATTTGAGTTATAGGCATATTTATTTACTACAACAGAGACCTCTTACAACTTTTTTCATAAATTTCTTGAAGAAAATTATAGAGACTAGACAACAAAGCACCACTGCAGGGCATATAACCGCGTTCATATTCACTACAGTTTAACCTTTATCAAAGGTCTGTCCCATCAACTTCGCCGCTGCCTTTAACAACAAGGTGTGCGCATGGTTCTAAATCCGAGACTACACTTAATCACAGATAGTGCGCCTAAAGACGCTGGTAATTTGACTAAAAAAGATGACGTAGTTTAAAGAGTTCCTGGGGATCTAGATAGTGGTTGAGAGTTACATTGGACAGCAACAGACTCACAAAAGACAGAATCGAAAAGGATCACGGAAATAACAGATCAGCCCGCACCCAGTCCCGCTCTGCCCTTTCAGAGCGCGCCCACAGGAAAGGACACCACAATCTTTGGAGTGAAGAAAACCTAATTGATCGTGATCCTCACGGTTTTCATGCAGGGTCAAAGAGGCGATTCACGTAAGACTTCACACTTACAATATCATGAACTGTGGAGTCAGTATTAGAGATTTTAATATCTAAGGCTGAAAATGACAATAAGCTGAGAAAACGAAACTGATTTAATGGCATCACCTTGTCACTTGCAATTTTAATCCCGCAGTTGTTTGTACAGGCAGTAAGGAGACCTTCGCAATTTTCTAAATGTGCCTGTCAAGACAAAGAACAAAAAGAAGTAAAAACTGAATAAAATAGTACAGGAAAGTGATTTTTGAAACAGAGACGTTTTAAGTACAAACAACTGATGTGGAAAAATAATGAAACTACCAAGGGTATATCAGCTTGCTACATAACTGATCCAAACTCTTGTGAGTAAAGAAATGTAGCTTGGGTGGAAGTATGGGGTATTGCGAGAAGTTAAATTTTATTAAAAGGTCAGTAATCTTTCAGACAAAAACAGACAACTTCTGACACCTTTGATCCCAATCGGTGCTTCATTACAGGTTAGTTAGTCGATTTTTTTTAAAAAATTACGTTTATCGAGTACTGTTCAACAAAAACACACGTTGACCGTAAACGTAAACTTGTCATGAAACAACCAAGCAAATACGCTTCCGTCTCGCGCACGGCAATCGTGGATAATTGTCCTATCATTCCATTATCAACGTCAATTATCAAATAATTGTAAATATCTTCCAAATTTGGCTTTGAAGAACTAACCCAGGTATAAACGTCGATCAATTACGATATTTTGAATAAAAAATCGTCTCTTGTAATATGTGAGGTGAAGGCGTTGAAATAAAAATTAGCGCGTTTTAAAATATTCTGTGTTATATTCGGCTACCATAGAAGTTGTCTACAATGGAGGTCAAAAGGGTTGGGACCTTTCTAGTGATTTCAGTAAAACTAGCGACCCCTCCCATCCCACCCTAAGCAAAGTTGAATTTTGAGCACCATGGGTGAAAATGAGTGCTTTTTCTTGGCCACAAAATTACTGAGGGGTTGCGGGGGAACGACGGGATGAACCCAAAGCCGATGAAAAAATTGTCATTAAAAGCAGAGTGCTATGTAACAATTACTGGGAAGGGATTTTTCACACAGTCCCAAGTTCTTTTGTTCCCCATTGAAGTTAATTACCGTCTTATGGCTTTCAAAACATACAACAAGAACTGAGCCGGCAATTTGCTTTTACCTCCATTTGGCACTGTGGATGATGTTCTGCACAATGCAGACACCTCAAAATTCTCCATACGCACATGTTGGCCACGTGTTCAGTCAGATCTTTTCTGGTTACGTTTTCTCCACATTTTTCGTAGGTGCAAGAAACAATTTTCCAAGGACAAGAGGCCAAGTGGTTCTAATAAAATAATCAGACGACAGACCATAAAAAATGCATCATCCCTCTCCCTCCCCTCCCTCCGCTTTTTAACTGTACCTGTACGGCCTCGTAATTTCATCTGTTTCTCCGCGTTTAAAACTCGAGATGAAGCGCTTGCCATCGTTTTTGACATATTACTTAAAATGTGTATACTGTTCCCGAAGAGAAGGCAAAACCATTCTTTCAGCTGCAGAAGAAATATCCAGTACAAGCGCTTTTTTTACACTCCTCGTTTCTTTAGGTCTGTTTTTCCCATACTAGTGACGTTAAATTCGTTCTCATTTGTGAACTTTTCGATTTCAAATACTTAAAATAGAAAATATTGTGAATAACAAATCGTTTTTCAGTCTCATCATGGCTCTATGGCTAGTACCATACATGGGTTTTACTTTCGATCATGTGGCGCTGAAAATGTAAATGGGACTTGAATTTCTTGACAGTCAACGGCGAACTTTTAATCTTCCAAAATATTATGGCTTAGGCCCTTTAAAGTGTTATTAGTATTACTACATATTTTCAAAGCCGTCGCTTGCCAAAGTGCAGGAGTCGAGAAAAACGGCCTTGTTCGATGCAGTTGAAAGGACATTCTCCTGTTTGGGCCCTGGGGAATTTGAGCAAAACGTAAGATCAATTGACAAAGGCCAGGGGCGGATCCAGGAATTTTTAAAGGAGGGGGGGCGGGGATGATACCAATCGGCCACTAAACTCCCTGGTAGTCCATCGATAAAAATCGGTATCGATTTATCAATCGAAAAATCGATAAGAATTGGTAAATCTGACTTGATTGTTATCGATTGTATGGATCAATCGATAGAAATCGATGACACACTCGTTTCGTTTATCGATTCATCTAGATTTTACCGATTTCATCGATTTATATCGGAAAATGCATCTGTTCTTCTGTTCATCCAAAAATGAACACTGATTTCATGCAAACAGTGAATTTATAGACAATTGAGTTGCAATTGAGAGTCGAAAGATCAAACAATTATCACTTTAAAAAAAGTCTTCTTCTGTCTAGCCGATATTGACTAGGCTCAGAGTAGGCGCACAGTTAATTTTTCACGATTTAGATCCGACGCCCGTCAGGATAAGGTCAGTTCCACGTGTAGTTGCTTCCCGGAGTAGTCAATAGATAAAGATCTAAATCGATAATAATTGTCCGCGATCAAGTGATTTTTATCGATTGACAATGTCTGAAATTAATTTAGAGCTGGGAAATCTTTTATCGGCTAAACTTCAGAATACCCGGCAACTGCCCTTTTATCTAAGGTTGTATTTCTCGTGATACTTGCCTGCGAGAACTGCGAATGTAATTAACCGAACTGTTTTTGTTATTATGTACAAAAGGGTTTTAGAGAGAATCTTGTGTCAGTAATAGTTTCCACATTTCCTATTTTCATGTTTGTTAATCAGTTGTTACTCGTGGATTAGCCTGCGTGGCAAGCGTTAGAAAGGGAAGGGGAAAGGAACTGAGGGCGCAAGACCGCGCGCGAGGGAGGAGGGAGGAGTTACAAGGTGAACAATAATCCCTACCTCTTTCTCCCTCAGCTCACCAGTCCACTCACAGCACTCACTGGGACACTTGATGACATGTGACAAAATCTTTCTTTCGGCTAGTTTGTCAGGGAATATGTCCTAATAAAGTAAACATGGAAGAAAAATAAGAAAAATATTCATTCATAAAATCAGCTTTGATAGTTTATTCTGTCTTTTATGTGATCAAAGTTGAGCTCTTTGCAGGTATCAAGAATTAGGAAGTGAACAACGATTTCAACGGAGGCGAAAACGTCACTTTAAGAAAGACTCGCTCACTCCGTCTAATGAGGGCGAACTCTCCTGAAGTTTAATTCTGAAGAAAAACATCAAATTTAAAAAAGAGAAAGATAGATTTGTCGTTGTCAGGAGTCGTTCTCCTGGTCGTTGTAAGTTGGCGTTGTCATAAAACGGGAAATTAGGAAGTTTCACGTAGCTGAATCGGGCAGTGACGGCAAAAAAATGTGCAAAAAGTGTGATACACTTGCACCACCAGATACTAGATAGATTTTCGCGCTGACACGAAAGGCTATCCGGAGCATGAACACCCATCCGATATGTGACTGACTCCACTTTAGAGATCGGCGGAGCGCATCTTCGCTCCGTCACAGAAATCTCGCTTCCACAACTGTTTGTGCACAGAAGCCCTATCCAGTATGGGTTTCTTGCCGACACAAATCCGATCCAGTATAGTGTGAACATTGCCTAAACCTTTTGCTTTTTTGAAGTTCCCGTTGCCGTCGCATTGGTGACATCTTAACCCATTCGCTCCTGGAGATTTTGCCGAAAAACGCGTTTTGAAGCTAGTCGAGTGGTTTTCTGGTCACTGTCGTGCTATAAAGAGCTAAAACTTACCAGAAACCGGTTTACAGGTCGTACACTTGGCGGCCTTCTGATCCACATGCAAAATATCAGCTTGCGAAGTTCGGGCATGCGCAGAAAGCAAAATTTCGAAGAAAGTTGTCCTTGACCGTTAAAACGGATGACGTCACAAAGGGTAGAAAGGACCTGGATCCGCACGGGCGGTTACGGGCGGGTCAGGGGCGAATGGGTTAAACCAGTTCCTACTGATTAGTGTAGTAGTACCTTGTCTTGTTCCAGGACTTTCCTGTCCGAAGGACACGTTAACTGGTGACCCTCTTGCTCCTGCCTTTAATAATAAATAATATTGATTAAAAAAAGCCAACTGGCTCGTTTAATCATAACGCGACAACCTTCCTAAAGCGGTACCGGAAGGAGGACGAGAAAGAGGACGAGAGGGCAGCGCATTCTCGTCCCCAGAGCCTCCTGTTCCGTTAGCCGGTGAGGCCTGAACAGGAGGACCAGTTTCCGTCTTAACCGGTCTGTTCCTTGGCAAATTCAGCAGGATCAATCTCGTTCCCAGTGTTCTCTCCTATCCGTCCCTACAGAGCGAGAGAGGGATAAGTAGAAGAGAACCCTGGGAACGAGGTGGCAGCAGGATATAAAAGGATGTTTAGTCTAGCAACTGCTGTCATTCTTTGAGTAGTACTCTTGCTGTTCTCGCTACAGTTTAGGCAGACCTTCGGCTATTTCTTTTTCGTAGAACGTTTAAAATTTTCCGGGCCATTTTCACCAAAAACAACTGAGCTAATGCAATCGCTTCCACGACTTCTTACTTTCGTGACGTCATTTTATTTTTGGACAAAGTTAAAATAGCTACTGAAATGCTCCATCGCGTGATCGATGACTTAATTCATACAAGAAAACCAAGAGAGGGGAGAATGAGCAACCATCACCTGTACAAAGGAATCAGGGACCTTTCCACGGTTTTTTCAACTTTCTAGTTCCGTGGACCAGTTAAAGCAAATGTTTTTGTCGTCGACACCACTGGAAAGAGCGCCTTGAAATTGATAATATCGTCATGTTTGAAAGTAATTTCTTGAAAACTAACGAAGATATAACGACTAGAAATCAGGTCGACAAAGGACCACTATGTGGACGTGCCAACTCCAAATCGTTATTTATTTTATTTTTTTTATAACTTCTCAAAGTCACGAAATTCTACAGCCGTTTGTGTCTGTAAAATTCTCGCAACTTTGGAGAGCTTTTTCTTTGCACGTTTCAAACGTATCACTTTCAAACTGAGCAAAATTACTAATATTAAGGCGCTATTTACTTTCCAGTGGTGTCGACGGATTTTCCGTCAAGGGCACATGTCAAAAGTTGAAAAAAACCGTGGTTCTATTTAGGAGCATTTGAGAGCAGTTAGAGCACACCTGGGATACAACTTCACAAAGGAAAAGTAATTTTGTGGGGGCTCCCAGCAATAGTAGCTATTACTGTGTTAGAGACTGCAAGTACATATCGAAGCCTTGAAAACAACATTTATCACAATACCTCTCCTCTAACCACAACATTAGGTGGTACTCAAGTATTAAATAAAGGTTTATGAATACATCCGTCTGTAGGATTTTCTGTCACGTGTCAACGTAAATAAAAATACTTTAATAAGAGGAGTTTACAGACTTTAACTAGATCATTATGAGCCTTGTGTCATTCGAAATGTTACCAAACAACTGCTCTCTATCGGTTGTGTTAGTTGTGGCGATTATGACCGGTTGACGGACAAGCCTGTCATTCAAAACATTTAATGGTTGACTAACCATTAATACACACATGTCATTATATTCCTTGTCTCCTTAAATCAGTAAATCTCTATGCCTAATTCGCTTTATTGGTCCGTACGAAGCAAGTCTAGTTCTAGAGATGAGACAAATGCAGATCAGACTGTCGATCAGTTTAATAAATGATCAAAAAACTTTGACCGGCCGCTGTTCATATAGACACTGTTTTGAATTTGCTGTCAAAGTGAAAGTTAGAAATTACTTTCATAATTTTAACAACTACATCCTTATTTTAACCTGCAGCAATGTCGTTAGATCGCTTTCAGTCAACAAGTTTTACCAAGAGCTAGCCTACCTGTACAGTCGACTGATAATGTTGCAGTTGTCTGTTGTAACATATACACAATATACATCTGATAAGGACAGGAAAACCCTTCAGAAATATCAACACGGAGTTTCCACTATAAAGAATACCTTCGCATATATTCCTCGAGACACTGCCGCCAAAACCTGTGACCACATCTTGTAAGAACCGGTTCTTTCGACGGCAGAAAACATATTATGCAATGAAGGTCTTCATCAGGTGGGTTAACAAACTGCTCGTCATGACCAGAAGGAACAGATCGGCTATTCGGTACTTCCGCCATTGCTGAAACAGACACAACCTCGTCCCCAGGGTCTTCTCGTTTTCCAATATGGCGACAGCAGTGCTACGCGCAGGGTCGGGAGGGTGCTTATGGGACTGAATTGCGGGATATTTTAATTACAACGAACAACAGTTCATAACGAGAATGGGAGAGCCCTCGGCCCCTGAGGACTTAATTTTGCAAAACCAGTTCTAGACACATTTGCTTCCTAACAGTTTCAATGACATGTTTTTGCTTAATTGTGACCTACATTCATACAACACTAGAAGTAAGAATTCCTTCCGTTAAGTTTGCCCTACTACAGGACAAATGTAACGAAATTTTCACTTCGTTTTCAAGGGCCCAAAATATTTACAGGGGCAGATACAGGATTTTTTTCGGTGGGGGTGCATTCGTCTCTTGCTCTACTTCAACACCAATAAACCACATAGTTTTTTTTTTTTTTTTTGCGGAATACCAGTTGTATTAGAAAACCGCAGGTCATCTCGGGGGGGGGGGGGGTGCGCACCCTCTGCAAATTTCAGTTTCAATTTCCTCGTGGATTCCGTCTTAATTCCCTTAACTCTGAAATTCAGAATGCCTCTAGTACTGCTTTGTTCAATTCTGAACTTAAGTCATTTTTTCTTGGTATACAATTGTATAAGCACACTTTACCTGAGTCTCCTAATGCTTTTGTGTACTTACTAGTAGTTAGTTATCGACGAATGGGCTCTTTCAGTTACTAAAGAGAGTTCTGTCTTTCTCAGCATATTCACTGCATATTTGGGACCTGGAACTGAAGGACTATCTTACTGTCATAAGCCTTTTTCATATAAATTCATCTTAAAGAGACGATAGTTTTAACTGCTAGATAGATAGATAGATAGATAGATAGATAGATAGATAGAAACTTTATTAAAAGTGTCAAAGCCGTCTAGCCAGGGAAAAAAGAATCCCTTACTAATTTGGGGACACCAATTAGGGGAGAATATACAAAGTAAAAACTATATACAGTAGTAGGTAAAATATGTATAGTCATCTAATTACAAGATTTATAGTATAAAAATATACAGAAGTCAAAATGAACAAAGGCTACAGCCTGCGCAGCCATCATCTAAAAGTTCACTGATATTGAGTTGGCGTATCTTGCTTTTAAACGACATTAGGGTTGTGACGTCCCTAATACTCTTGGGTAGTTTTGTCCATAGCCTAGGCCCTAGATATCTAATAGAGTGCTTGCCGTAGGTGACTGTCTCATACCTAGGTATAGAGAAATCTGCTTGCCTCAGATTGTAATTACTATTTGGTTCTTTAAAGATGTTACTTATATATGCAGGGCACAGTTTATGCTTTACTTTATACATAAGGATGCTCAGATCCTGTAAGCGACTATTTAGTAGTGTGGGCAGGTCTGCCTTCTCTAATAGTTGTTCATAACTAGAATTATTATCCCTGAAAACCGCTCTAAGTCCTCTTTCTTGTAGTCTTTCAAGCTTTCGAGTGTCACTCGCTTTGCAAAAATGCCACACTAGGTGACAGTAGGTGAGGAATGGTAATATCGCGCTTTTGAATAATATTAACTTAGATTTCATAGGAATTAGATTACGTAGATTAGATTTCATAGGAATTAGATTACGTAGTAAATAAAACCATCGTCTTTTTAATATGAATAAAACACTTGGCCAGGAAGTTTTCTTGTCTTTTTACGGCTAGTAGATGCGTCTGTAAGTCCTTTTACAGACCGAAACGACAGATTTCCCTACCCTTTTATAAACTTCAACTAATGAAATCCCTACCCTTTTATGTGCCTGGTAAAATCAGAAAGTTTTCCATCTTTGTCACCGCCACAAGATGCGTCTGTTAGCCTTTTTAGGTACTTTCACAGACCGAAATTTCAGATTCCCCAGGCCTTTCTTATACTTCAATTCGTGGAATCCCATCCTTTCATACACCAGTAGCCTAAAAAAGGCACCTCTTTCGGGTGGAGCCTAGCCGTATAGGCCATTATAGGGAGTACCCCTCGGGCCCCATGTTGGCCGTTGTTAAGAGGCCCGACTACACTTTATTTTCGCTTACTTATTTGGCGAGTTCAAATTTTCGCGATTTCCAAAAGTCGTCGCGAAAATTTTATGAAACGAATTAAACCAACTTTGTTTTGACTATCGATAGCAGCACAAAATGCTGTGCTTTGCAAATTTTTTCTTCAACAAGAATAGAACCACGTGAATTCCGACTCGTCCAATGTTCAAAACAATTTGAATCAAATTAGCTCTGAACAATTATTAGTTCTCTCGAAATGACTGGCAATAGATTTCGCTGTTTGATTTTATAAATAATGTATTATTTTACTGAAGCTGTGTGGCAAATACGTAAACAACTAACGTAAACGAATAACATTTCCAAGAAATTATACATAAAACTTACGTTTCCCATCGCCGGTTTTCTCTTGAAACTATGGGGATGGCGAATATTTTTTCAAAAAATGAGATCCTTGCATGATTTTTGTCGATTTCTTTGTTCTGAAGTCTCAATATTTTTTCGGAAACCGCCGGGAAGTGTCGGAGTCTCGATTTCTTGTTTTTCCAAGGCCTTAGTCCAAATCCGGATTTGATGTTTGTTGGCATAAAATGGGATTGTGTCTAAAAGTACACAAGAGTGACCACGAGTGAGCACGAATGACCACGAGTAAAAGTTCACCAATTATCATGTTTACATCATAGTGACATCATTATTATGTCACTTGGCAAAACATAACTCTTGAACCAGTGATTGGTGGTTGGACTGGCGATTGGGCCGAAGCACAAAGTCCTTCCAGCCACTGGGGGTCTATTTGCGTGGCTGGCGAATACCTCAAGCCTCAAGCAGTGCTGGAAATATTGATATAATTTTTGATTCTTACATCAACTTGGAGAAACATGTTATGAATACCTGCCGTTATTCACATACGGAAAATAGCAAAAATACGGGAACTGTTTGTCTCAAGACGAAGCTGAGATACTTGCTCTTGCTTTTATTTCATCCAAGCTGGATTTTTGCAAAGCACTTCTATATGGGTTACCACAATCGGTTCTCGAAAGGCTAAAGTCTGTACAAAACAGGGCTGCTCGCCTGGTGTCCAGAACTCAAAGCTCATAACATATAACACCGGTACTTCCTCAACTGCAGTGGCTACCAATCAAGCAACGAACCGCGTACAAAATAATAGTCGTTGCATATAAAGCAACGAATGACATGTGGTCGTTTATACAAGAGAAAATAAGCCGCGGCTTACATAAGACGCGAAAGGAACCATTTATACGATTACGGCTTATATAAGACGCGAACTGCTCGTATAAATGGTTCACGGCTTAGTTCATGGCCAGACGGTCCAATGATAACGTAGTTTGTTTTGGTGCCTCGCGAAATTTGCAGCAATGGCTCGAGCAAGCAAATAGCGGAAAGATTGGCTTTGGTCAGGAAAATAGCCATATTTAACACTGTCTTTTTCGTTTCAAATTAACATTCCGGTCAAGATTTGTACTGGGCTGTTATGAAACTTGTGCGGAAATCTCGACGAAAAGCTCTTCAGCGATTAACCGAGCGGTTTGAAACCCTTGAAAGAGAAGAACAGGCGATGGATAAGGTGGAATTTAGACGAAATTTCCGGCTCTCGTGCAGCAGGTCATATTCCCGCCAATGCAGCCTGCGTGTCTCGGCCGTGAAGGTCTGGGATATAATTGAAAACAGAGCGTGCGCGGCAATCGTTCATGGCTTCAGCAAGCCACAGATAACGTTTTAGTGCATTTATACGAATACTTTCACGTCCAAGGTAAGCCGCGGCTTGGATAAGCCCAGCCCAAAACTCCTCGGCCAGGATAAGCAGCGGCTTGAGCAGCAGCTGGCCGTGGGTTGAATAAGCCGTGAACTTAGATTTTGTACCATTTATACAGGGTGTTCCCTATTGTTGATCTCCTTCAGCGCTATACCCCGACTACAGACAGCTAAGATCACCTGTAAGAACCTCTTTCTTCTTGTAACACCAAAGTCCAATTTGAAGTTTTATGGAGACAGATCTTTTCAAGGTTCTGTCCCCAGACTTTGGAATGAATTACCTAATAGCATAAGATCAGTCCAATCCCTAAATGTTTTTATGAGCAAAAAAAAAAAAAAAGAAAGAAAACACTTCTTTGTAAAAAAGCTTTTTATCAGTTCTATTTTATATTTTTAGCTATCGTTCTGAGAAACGTTTTAATTCTTATCCTTTTTTTATCATCGTCTGAGAACATTTTTGGCTTAATCTGGTTACTATTAATCGTAAAGAGCCATAAGCGTTAAGACATGTTGCGTAATATTCTATAATTAATTATAAACGAGAGGTTTATTTTCGAAATTTTTACGGTTTTTGATCAATAGTATTCTTTCAGTGTTTGGTATTAATTTGACCTTTGAAAAAGGGTCGAGTGAAAGGAAATTACATTGTCCCCATCTCCTCTCCCAAGCTGTCCAGGACCCGCCCTTTTGAATAAAAATAATTGTAGAAAATAACCACCAACGCATTCAACTGTGGAACTGTCGGATAATAAATTCATTTATGGAATCCTGGGGGGTACACTTGACCTGGCTTGACTGTAATTTTACTTCATTAATTGATAATTTTATTGTATCATTTTCAAAATTATGGAAACTTTTATCTTAACTGCAAACATGGCGAACATAAAACAGCTCTCTGCCCGAAAAGTTACCAGGACTTTCGCGAATTTCGAGAAATTAACGGGCCTCAGGCTGGATCGGAATCAGAAATAGGTGTATTTTTCCCCGTGATTGTGCATGTGATACTATGTTTTGTTGTGTTATGCCATGCAATCTTCAACTATTTAGTGTTAATTGTAACCACCTACAGATCCCCGTTTAAAAGAACCTGCCCCTTTTATAACAGAGCTGCACTGGCTCAGTCATGATTGTTTTGATACAAGAATATCGGGGATGAAATTTGGGAAAATTTGCGAAAATTTTAAGAATAAACCCGAGGCTGAGATTTTGAA